ACTATACGTTGGGAAGAGGAGAGTCAGAATTCGCCAGGGGAGTGAGAGCTTCCTTGCCGCCAGGCATGGTGAACACTACTTTGGCGGCATTCCCACAATGCCATGCAGGCGTCCAGATTTTTTCTATAGTGAGCACACTGACCACTCAGACCCATTCTCTTAGGTGTAGGCATACTAGCCTTCTCGAGCTAAATTTGAGGCTGCTAGAATTTTGGTGTAGTTCTACGGTTTGGACCCACAACTCAAAGCCATAGAACTACGGCACGGACCCTGAAAGGGTTAATACAACTATACCCAACAACTTGGCACAAGCAATAATGCTCATCCTTATACAGTGGACCCCCACCTTACGATATTAATCTGTTCCTGAGAGCTCATCATTAGATGAAATTATCGTAAGGTGAATTAATTTTCCCTATAAGAAATAAAGGAAATCAAATTAATCCGTGCAAGACACCACAAAGTATGAAAAAAACAAATTTTTTTACCACATGAAATATTAATTTTAATACACACAAACTGACACTTACCTTTATTGAAGATCTGGTGATGATTGATGGGATGGGAGGAGGGGAGAGTGTGGAAGTTGTTAGTGTTTAGAAGGGGAATCCCTTTCCATTAGGACTTTAGGTAGCACGTCCGTTTCCGGGGTTACTTCCCTTCTTCTTTTAATGCCACTAGGACCAGCTTGAGAGTCACTGGACCTCTGTCGCACAACATCTCTGTCCATAGAGCTCTGTACCTCCCGTTCCTTTATGATTTGTCTAAAGTGGTTCACAACATCGTCATTGTAATAGTCACCAGCACGACATGCAATAGCTGTGTGAGGGTGATTTTCATCCATAAAGGTTTGCACTTCAAGCCACTTTGCACACATTTCCTTAATCTTTGAAGTAGGCAACTTCTTCAATTTCTCTCTCCCCTCCTCCGAAGCAGTTTCCTCAGGTCTGGCCTCTTGCTGTTGAAGGTGATCTTGCAGCTCATCAGTGGTTAGTTCTTCATTTTCCCCCTCCACCAACTCTTCCACATCCTCCCCACTAACCTCCAACCCCAAGGACTTCCCCAATGCCACAATTGATTCCACAACTGGCATACGCTTCTCAGGGTTAGCCTCAAATCCTTCAAAATCCCTTTTGTCTACACATTCTGGCCACAGTTTCTTCTAAGCAGAGTTCAAGGTCCTCTTAGTCACTCCCTCCCAAGCCTTACCTATAAGGTTTACACAATTGAGGATGCTAAAGTGATCTTTCCAAAACTCTCTTAGAGCCAATCGAGTGTCTGAGGTCACTATCACTACAAAGCACTTTCGAAACATAGCTTTTGTGTAGAGTTTTTTGAAGTTTGAAATGACCTGCTGGTCCATGGGCTGCAGGAGAGGAGTGGTATTAGGAGGCAAAAACTTGAGCTTAATTAATGAAGCTCATGTCCCCAGAAAGTCGCTCTCCCAAGTCTGAAGGATGACCAGGAGCATTGTCTAATACCAGGAGGCATTTAAGGTCCAATTTCTTTTCCATTAGGTAATTTTTCACATTGGGGGGCAAATGCATGGTGTAATTAGTCATAGAAAAAGTCCCTAGTGACCCATGCCTTACTGTTTGCCCTCCACAGCACACACAAATTAGCCTTGAGGACATTGTTGTGCCTGAACACTGGGAGTTTCAGAGTGATACACCAATAAAGGCTTCACTTTGCAATCACCACTAGCATTAGCACACATCAAGAGAGTAAGCCTGTCTTTCATAGGCTTATGTCCTGGGAGTGGCTTTTCCTCCTGAGTAATGTAGGTCCTGCTTGGCATTTTCTTCCAAAACAGGCCTGTTTCATCACAATTAAACACTTGTTCAGGTTTCAGTCCTTCACTGTCTATGTACTCCTTGAATTCCTTCACATATTTTTCAGCCGCTTTTTGGTCCAAACTGGCAGCCTCACCGTGCCTTATCACACTATGTATGCCACTACGATTCTTTAATCTCTCAAACCAACCTTTGCTGGCCTTAAATTCACTCACATCACCACTAGTTGCAGGCATTTTTCTAATTAAATCGTCATGCAACTTCCTAGCCTTTTCACATATGATCGCTTGAGAGATGCTATCTCCTGCTATCTGTTTTTTGTTTATCCACACCAATAACAGTCTCTCAACATCTTTGAGTACTTGTGATCTCCGTTTCGAAAACAAAGTTGCACCTTTTGCAAGAACAGCTTCCTTGATTGCCGGTTTGTTGGCCACGATAGTAGCGATGGTTGATTGGGGTTTGGTATACCACCTGGCCAGCTCCGAGACATGCACTCCACTTTCGTACTTACCAATTATCTCTTTCTTCATTTCCATAGTAATTTTCACCTTTTTTACTGCACGGTTGGCACTAGAAGCTTTCTTGGGGCCCATAGTGACTTATTTTGCAGGTACAATCACTAAAAACGCTGTGATAATATGAAATGTACTGATTGTATGCATGGATAGGATGTGACCGCACTGGCTGGCTTGTAAACACTGGCACCCATGGGGCAGCTGAGGCGAGCTCAGGCCACACGTGGGACGCGTCCCAGACCGGGATGAATCGCGTAAGGCAAGGCAAAATTTTTGCATTAAAATGTATTGTATGGCGGATTTGACGTAGCGCGATGCCATCGTAAGGTGGGGGTCCACTGTATAAATAACTTTGGTTAAAATGAGGCTAATAAAACTAAAATTTAATAAAATCACTCGTGTAAAAAGATTTTAATAAAATTTAAAACTATATTAATACTAATAATAATACCACCTATAGTACTGTACAGTGGTCCCTCATTTTTCCTAGTTAATCCGTTGCTGGAGTTGCTACTATTATCGAAATCTACGATTTTCGAATCAATTTTCCCCACAAGAAATAATGTAAATATAATTAATTCGTTCCTGACACCCAGAAGTATTAAAACAAAAAATTTTTTTACATGAAATATAGATGTAGTACATAAACAATACAATGGGAAATGATGAATGAAACATTAACAGCATAACACTTACCTTTATTGGAGATTCTTCTTAGTGTATGGGAGACTGGAGGAGGAGAGAGATTGGATTGTTTATAGTTTGGAAGGGGAATCCCCTTCCATCAACACCTCAGGTACCAATTGCTTTTCTGGGGTTGCTTCTCTTCTCTGTTTCTTAATGCCACTAGGACCACCTTGAGAGTCACTGTAGTCCTGTCTCACAAAATAACTGTGGAGAGAGCTCTGTTTCTGGCATCTCTTGAACACTTCCCTAAAATGGCCCAAGACTTTGTCACTGTACATGGCTTGCAACAACCTTGTCAGAGTGATGTTTCTCCATAAAGCTTTCCATTTTACCCCACATAGCAAAAATCTCTTTAATTTCTGAAGAAGGCACCTTCTTCCATCTCTCTTCCTCCTCCTCTGCAGCAAGATTCTGAGCTGCGATCTGTTGCTGTTCCTGCTGAAGCTCTTGCAGCTCCTCACTGGTGAGCTCTTCGTTGTGGTCTTTCACCAACTCTTCCACATCCTCCAAACTCACATCCAACCCCATGGAACTCCCCAGTGCCACAATTGATTTAACAACAGACATAGGCTCATCAGGGTCAGTCCCAAACCCTTCAAAATCCCTCTTGTCGACACAATCTGGCCACAATTTTCTCCAAGCAGAGTTCAAAGTCCTGGTAGTCACTCCCTCCCAAGCCATACCTATAAGGGTTATGCAATGGAGGATGCTGAAGTGTTCTCTCCAAAATTCCCTTAGGGTCAAGTGAGTGTCTGTGGTCACAGTCAAGCACCTGTGAGACACTGCTTTGGTGTAGAGTTTTTTAAAGTTTGGAATGACCTGCTGGTCCATGGGCTGGAGGAGAGGAGTGGTATTCGGGGGCAAGAACTTTACTGTGATGAACCCAAACTCCTCGAAAATTAGATCATCCAAGTTTGGAGGATGAGCAGGTGCATTGTCTATTACTAGCAGGCACTTGAGATCCAATTTCTTTTCCAGGAGGTAATTCTTCACACTAGGGCCAAACACTTAATTGAACCACTCAACGAAAATTTCCCTCGTGACCTATTCCTTACTATTAGATTTCCAAAACATACACAATTTACTCTTCATAACATTGTTTTTTCTGAACACTCTGGGATTTTCAGAATGGTACACTAGTAATGGCTTCACTTTGAAACCCCACTAGCATTAGCACAGAACATGAGCGTCAGCCTGTCTTTCATAGGCTTGTGTCCTGGCATTACCTTTTTCCTCCTGTGTAATGAAGGTCCTCTTTGGCATTTTCTTCCAAAAGGGGCCTGTTTCATCACAATTGAACACTTGTTCAGGTTTCAGTCCTTCAGCCTCTATGTACTCCTTGAATTCATGCACATATTTTTCAGCCACCTTGTGGTCCGAACTGGCAGCCTCACCATGCCTTACCACACTGTGTATGCCAGTACGGTTCTCAAATCTCTCAAACCAACCTTTGCTGGCCTTAAATTCACTCACATCACCACTATTTGCAGGCAATTTCTTTACCAAATTGTCGTGCAACTGCCTAGCCTTTTCACAAATAATCGAAGTCATAAGAGTATCTCCTGCTATTTGTTTCTCATTTATCCACACCAATAATAACTTCTCAACCTCTTCGAGTACTGGTGATCTCATTTTTGTCAGCATAGTTACCCCCTTTGCAACAACAGTGTCCTTGATTTCTTTTTTCTTGGCCACCATGGAACATATGGCTGTGTAGGGTTTCTTATACATCCTGGCCAGTTCTGCTGCACTTGTGCCACTTTCATATTGTTCAATGATGTTTTTCTTAAATTCAATCATATTTCTCACCTTCTTTACCACAGGCTTGGCACTAGGAGCTTTCTTTGGAGCCATGGTAGCTTATTTAGTACTTGCAAGCACTAAAATGAGTGGAATATTATGAAATATTTCGTAGGAGCACGTGAGGGGACCTTTGCTCACTGGTAAACAATGCCAGACTGGCTGGGTAGGGAGGCCGCCCCGGCTCACACCGTGCGTACGCTTCCCGGACGAACTACTATTCACAAGTCAACCTATGATTAGCGAGCCCATATTTATACGAAAATATCCCTATGATTTCCGAAATCTATGATTCCCGAGAACTATGAAAAACGAGGGACCACTGTATTTAGAAGGTTGTATTAGATACAAACATTCTTAATGGAACACTCACCTGCTGAAGTACTTTAGGAAGAGCAGGAGAAAACAGGTTTGTGTTTTTCTTCAAGTAACCAACAGAAGATGTCACTATCACATGTTGAGCTTCATATTCATCACCATCTCTGTAATGTTCACTTGCATCATAAACATGACTTCAAACTAGTGTCTTCTAAAAACATTCTGAAAGGGGATTAGTAAAAAAAAAAAAAAAATCTATGCCTTGTTCAAATGAACATGAGGGTAACTGTTGTTAACCTATCGATAAATATTTTTTAGGCAGTCACTGGTTTGTTGAGGATCTTAACTATAGATGAAATTCATTAAGGTTGCATGTAACTTTTCACTGCCAGATAAGAATATTTTAATGCCTTAACTCCTTCACTTGTCATGACCTATGAAATCACCGTACAGAAGCAACGAGCATTTAACAACCGTTGTACAGAACCAACGAACATTTAACAACCACTGTACAGAACCATCGAGCATTTAACAACCATTGTACAGAATTATTGATCATTTAACAACCATTGTACAGAACCAAAGAGCGTTTAACAATCACTGTACAGAGCCAATGAGCATTTAACAACCTGCACACGGAGTAGACGAACCAGTTACCTAACAACACTTTCTGTAGGTAAACCAGCAACCTGGCACCACTGTAGGTGAACCAGCAACCTAACAACACTGTGTAGGTGAACCAGCAACCTGGCACCACTGTAGGTGAACCAGCAACCTAACAACACTGCATGTAAGTGAACTAGCAACCTGGCACCGCTGTAGGTGAACCAGCAACCTGACAACACTGTGTGTAGGTGAACCAATAGCCTGACAACACTGCATGTAGGTGAACCAGTAACCTGACAACACTGTGTGTAGGTGAACCAGTGTTACACCCTTTTATTCATTTTAAGTAGACTGTTTCTACTTGTTATTATCACAATGGTATACTTTTATATGTTATTTTTGATATTTCACTTAATATTATATTCAGGAGTAATTCCATTAGTAGCTAAAATGGATTTACTCAACTTTATAATATTATCTGGTCGTATTACTTAGCTTTGTATATCGGTAGGTCGTTTAATTAGTGTCAACTGCTGGTGCGACCTGGCCAAGCACCAGTAGGTGTTTTGAGCTGCTCAACCCCTGCTCCGACCGAGACAAAGTGGGCTGGTAAAGCCTCACTTTGTGCAGTTCATACCTTCCTCTGGACTAGGAAGGGTCTAAGGGAGTATCCACCTCTAAAACCACCATTCGCCTCCCTAGAAAATCCCAGGAATTTTCGGGAACTCATTGCTAAGACTTATCTTGGTTGGAGAAGGCGGTTAAGAAGCTCTTGGAGAAAGTGAAGCTAAGTGAGCAAGCCTCTGTAGTGTAAGAGAGTTTATTGTAAAGTGAACCCTATTATAAGAAATCTATTAATGTGTTGGAGTTTTTAGGCAACACCTGTGCATGTACATGTACTAATATTTCGTGACTCACTCAGAGCCATTTGTAAATAATTGACCTAGTACTGTGTTGTTTTAATGAGAAATGGTAAAAGTATTCTACTCATAGTGTAAAATATGAGAAGGTGGATTTAAGTGATTATTATGATTATTAATAAATTAAAAAGAAACCAAGAAAATTCCTTTTCCTCTCTGAGTGAAGACCCTTAGATGTACTAAGTTTGTTATTTTGTTACGAAAAGCACTATAACCCAGGGACCAACTGATTATGTTCGTAACAACCAGTAACCTGACAACACTGTGTGCAGATGAACCAGTAACCTGACAACACTGTGTGTAGGTGAACCAGTAACCTAACAACACTGTTTATAGGAAAACTTTAATAAAGTAGAGTAGTGACCAAAGCATCATAAGAGAGGTTCTCTGGTGACACAGAGACTGAGAGAAACTAGACCATTATCTCTGGCTTCTTCTCCAGTGAAAATCCATGACCTCACAAACTGTACCATCCATCACTCTTCTTATAGGTTTACCTACTTTTGTGAGCATAATAATCTAGCAGCTTCAGTCATTAGTTAGTTTTATATCTTTATTATATACCCCATACCCATCCTATGGGAAGTAGTCAAAATATTGCAGGGGTACATAATGGGTCCAGGGACTGGGCTGTAAAGTTTTGATAGCTCAACTAGTTACAGTGGTAATGAACTATTTACACGTTTATATCTGGTTACACTCGTGACACATCTGATATGTTTGTACCGCTTTTATGTTATGAGACTTTTGTATTTAACTCTTTAATGTTTCAGTGCTGAAATAATGAAGGGTTTTGACTCAGCTTCTAGGGTGATATGGAATGGCTCTTTACAAGACCTTTTTATTTTTATTTTTATGACTTTTGTCCTAACTTTCAAAAGTTCTTGTGAGTTTTTGAGAGCAAGTTCAAAGAGTCACAATTGCTACCTGTGAGGGATTTAAAACCACTTTTTCCCAAGTCTTGACTTACACTGCTTTACATTCCCTCCAGAAAGAAGTTGAGTCTCTCACTGGGTCTTCGAGGAAGACAAAAACTTCTACTTTTGGCATAACTTATTTCGTGCTCTATGATAGGCTTTAGAAATTATCAAAAAGCAAGTTCAGTTCAACCTGTAAGAATGACAAAAGATCAATGTAGTAGAGAACTGTGACACAACAGTCCTCAACTGCTCTTCATTATCATACTCTTCCTCTAATATACAGCCTCTCCTCACTTAACGATACAATTCCGTTCCTAAGACCATGTCAGTAAACGAATTTGTTGCTAAGTAGGAGCATACTATAATGGTGGTGGGTCTGTGTCAACCATCTCTGATATTGTTTTAATATCACCTTTGCACCATTAATAACATTTTTAGTATATTTTTAAATGTTTATACAGTAGCATACTGTATATTATAATACAGTGGACCCTCGAGCTTCAAACTTACCGACTATCGAACATTTCAAGTTTCGACTTCTTTTTTCGAACCAATTTTGTTCCGAGTATCGAACTCTACCCATCTTTCGAACCACCAGATACTTGACCTATCCGCCAGCCCACATCCCCTCGAGAGCCAGTCTGGCTTTGTTGATGCTTGAGTGAACACTAACCTGCTGATCATTTAAACATTTCACAATTAATTCATTGTGTTTGGTGCTTGTTTATTAAGTGCGGCTGTGAAATAAGCTACCATGGTGGTGATGGTGGATGGTATTCGTTGATGGTAATGGTGGTGGCTATCTGGCCGGTCCTGACTGGACTGCCTGGACGGACGGACGGACGGACAGACGGACGGACGGTCAGCCGGCCAGCCAACCAGCCCGCCTGCCTGCCTGCCTACCTGCCTGCCTGCCTGCCTGCCTGCCAGCCTGCCTGCCTGCCTGCCAGCCTGCCTGTCTGCCTGCCTGCCAACCAGCCTGCCAGCCAGCCTGCCAGCCAGCCTGCCTGCCACCTTGCCTGCCTGCCTGCCAACCTGCCAGCCAGCCTGCCTGCCACCTTGCCTGCCACCTTGCCTGCCACCTTGCCTGCCTGCCTGCCAACCTGCCAGCCTGCCAGCCAGCCTGCCAGCTTGTTTACACAACCCCATGCTCCCTTCCACAATTTTTTTTTTTTGGACTATAACATTCACAAAAATATGCTCTATCATTTCATAAGAAAAAATATTTTTTTTTTTTTTTCCAAAAAATTTTCAATCCTGAGAACGGGTCTGGGAGAGAGCCTCTCAACCCTGAAAGAGTTAAGGACTTGTTACCTAAAGTCTTTATAGAAGGGGATTCCCATTCCAAACAATAAGTGCTCTTTCACTCCTCCCTATCTTCCAGATGCCATCAACAATCTTCAATAAAGGTTTATTTAAATGTTTATTTATCTATTACTAATTGTACTATGTACTATGTCTGTTGCGTGTATCTAAAACTAAAATGTAATCTCTATAAAATGTATTTTTTTGTGTGAATATTTTTGAGTTTCTGGAACGGATTAATTGTATTCCATTATTTCTTATGGGAAATACATGTATTGGTTTGACTTTCGAACATTTCGACTTTAGAACTAGCTCCTGAACGGATTAAGTTCAAAACTCGAGGGTCCACTGTAAACAGAATAGAGGAAATCAGCTCTAATATACATTATTTAGGTATGCATACTGGTCAGAGAGCCCATTGTAAGTCTGAGTCATCAGAAAAAGAGTACGTCGTTAAGTGAGGTATTATTTTTTTTATTTATTAACACACTGGCCGATTCCCACCAAGGCAGGGTGGCCCGAAAAAGAAAAACTTTCACCATCATTCACTCCATCACTGTCTTGCCAGAAGGGTGCTTTACACTACACTTTTTAAACTGCAACATTAACACCCCTCCTTCAGAGTGCAGGCACTGTACTTCCCATCTCCAGGACTCAAGTCCAGCCTGCCAGTTTCCCTGAATCCCTTCATAAATGTTACTTTGCTCACACTCCAACAGCACGTCAAGTATTAAAAACCATTTGTCTCCATTCACTCCTATCAAACACAATCACGCATGCCCACTGGAAGTCCAAGCCTCTCGCACACAAAACCTCCTTTACACCCTCCCTCCCTTTCCTAGGCCGACCCCTACCCTGCCTTCCTTCCACTACAGACTGATACACTCTTAAAGTCATTCTGTTTCGCTCCATTCTCTCTACATGTCCGAACCACGTCAACAACCCTTCCTCAGCCCTCTGGACAACAGTTTTGGCAATCCCGCACCTCCTCCTAACTTCCAAACTACGAATTCTCTGCTTTATATTTACACCACACATTGCCTTCAGACATGATATCTCCACTGCCTCCAGCCTTCTCCTCACTGCAACATTCATCACCCATGCTTCACACCCATATAAAGAGCGTTGGTAAAACTATACTCTCATACATTCCCCTCTTTGCCTCCAAGGACAAAGTTCTTTGTCTCCACAGACTCCTAAGTGCACCACTCACCCTTTTCCCTTCATCAATTCTATGATTCACCTCATCTTTCATAGACCCATCCTCTGACACATCCACTCCCAAATATCTGAATACATTCACCTCCTCCATACTCTCTCCCTCCAATCTGATATCCAATCTTTCATCACCTAATCTTTTTATCCTCATAACCTTACTCTTTCCTGTATTCACTTTTAATTTTCTTCTTTTAC